AATATAATTTTATTTGTTTATTTTCGTAAAATATTATTTAAAATATGTCACTGAATGATGAAATTTAAGCATATACTTTCAATTTTTCTCTTTTCTCTTTTTCGACTTATTTATTTAAGAATAACAAAAATGAAAGTATATGGAATAAGCAAATAAACACAATCATTTGTAATAACTATAATCACATTATTTGTTTTTTTTTTGTTTTCTGTTTCTGATTAGAGGGTAAAAGTTATTTGGTTTTATTTCTGCATAACACTTAAAACTAATCATAAATATGATCTGTCCAATGGATGATTTTTCTGTAAAGTTATCATCGAAAATATTAAGTACCACCCAAAATTATTCAAAAAATATTCATATTCATTCATTGCCAACGGAAATACAGAAAAATTTAAATTTTGCACTCTTCTTCAAATTACCCCATTATGGTCCATTTTAGAAAAAACAGGTATAAAACGAACATTATAGAGAAAGACATCACAAACAACTTTTATTGATAACAGAAATATACCTCAAATTAGAAAAATTACTCTCCATAAAGTACCCCAGGATGTTCCGACTATGCCGAAAATCTAATCAACTCAACTTAGGATAAATTAAAACTTAAGTTAAAACTTAGTGTTTTTCCCAGAGATAACCAGGAGATGTAACTACTAATAAATATCGTGCGGCCGTGAATAAGACATATTCTAAGGGACACAGTAGGACATAATATCCGCTGTTGTCATTGTTAGTAAAGTGTATGTATTAAAATATTCGCTCAAGAAAACGATTCACCTCCCACTCTTTTGTCACAAGGCTGAATTTTTCACAGATGAAAGGTCATGATAAGGTAATCCTTATTCCGGAGTTAATACAAAATTAGAGTGTGCAGAAGGGCATTATCATCAAAAATTCAGATATTGATACCACCGAATAGAGAAAAAAATACTCATTTTTTGATCAAATGCACAATAAAATCTTTGTAGGGAGTAATTGTTCATACTTATTTAAAAAAAATCATTTGCATTAGCACTTACGGCTGAAAAAAAATATAAACGTAAATATCTTGGTTTTAGCCCTTCAAAAATTTAGTTAAAAAGTCGTCTTTTTTAAATATACCACTCATTTAACAAAAAACGAAGGCCTAAATGAAAAAAAAAACATTCCTTATAAAATTTTTGGTTATGTGTTGACAAGGTAACAGAGTAAACATCATATTTTTTGCTTTTGAATTAACAAAGATATAACAATAAACGATGAGAGATGTCATAGGTTTATGCTGTTATTAATTCTCACCGCCAAATTTATCAACTCTCAGTGTATCTTTCTCTTCACCTTCAAACGTAGCATAGCTCTGTTTCTCTCTACGTGCCGGCTGATGTATCACATTATTGATATGGTAGGATTTTTCATTTTTTTTATTATAAAACTTCTCGTTATGTTCCATTGGGCAATGTGTCATATTGTTATCTGTTTTTACTAAAGAATTAATAAGTGTATGTGTTATATATTAAATTACCTAATAAATTGGGAAAAAATATAGACATTTTTGCATCTTTATTATATCTACATTCATCCTGTTGCAGCTGAATATATTTGGGTAAGTCATAAGTTTTCGTTTAAAATTTTAATTACGGATTTGTTGCTACAAGTAGCAAAGACAAAAATTATATCAAAATAGGAAAGCTCAAAAGTTGCATATCATTTAAAGAATATTCTCATATATTTGTAAACATTATTTTTAGAAATAAATTTAATGCTCAAATGATAGATGTAGTATTTGATCATTATAAAGGACATTCTATCAAAAATACAACACGTCAAAAGAGAGGATTTCAGAAATCAATTGATATAGAAATTGACCGACCCAATATTCTACTTCCGCAACAATAGAACTTGTTTATTCATTCGATATTTAACAAAAGACGTTTAACACATTTTCTGCCAGAGCAACTTCTTCAAAACTCGCAATAATCAATAAATATGGAAAGATTTTAAACCATCAAAAGACGATTTTTTAAATTCAAATCACGAAGACGCTAATAATCGTATCTTATTGCACATATTGTCAGCCAAAAATTCGGGGCATTCACGCTGCATTATTTATTGCAACGATACAGATGTCTTATTAATTTATTTTAAGAAGTTTTTGACTGAAGATATATGGTTCAGAACAGGGCGAGGAGACTCAAGACGATTTCTAGCAGTAAATTATTTAAATTTGGATGAAAACCTTCTAAAAAATGTGCCTGCTTTTCATTCTCTGACCGGTTGTAATACAACCAGCTAATTGTCCAGCATTGGGAAAAGAACCTGTTGGAAAACTTACCTTTAACACCATTACTTTTTGGATGGATTTGGCATTGATCAGTACTCTGAAAACATATTCTCTAATCTTGAAAGAATTTTCATAAAAATTTATTCAAAACTGCCAATGTTACTTCCATTAACATTTTGGGGGGATTATTGGCCTCTTCAAAAACCATCGCTAAATTGCCACCGACTGAAGACGCCCTAAGACTACATTGTTTAAGATGTTTTTACCAGCTAAATATTTGGCTAACCTCTTTAAACCCAGATGCAGCTTCCTAATGTTGAAGAGTATGGATGGAAAGTAGATCAAGATGGAAGTCTGATACCCACTTTTAAGACTCTGTCCGACCTGCCACCAGACATAACAGAACTTACATCATGCAAATGCAAAAAAGATACTATACAATATTCTAACAATAATATTCTGTTTTAGACTGTGGAAGCAAAATTTGCAAATGCAGAAAAAAAAATATTTGCTGTATCGGTTCCTGCACCTGTATGGCACAGCCGCTAATGTTTTGGAAAATGTTGATTCGTGTGGTGAATCTGATTCTGATTAGTTTGAAAGTCGTGTAATTATAAATTTTAATATTATTAATTTATGCTTTATATACTTCCTTCCAATTATTATTATTATTATAATTTATTTATATTGGGGATTTATTGTATTTTGCAAAGCAATAGCCTTACTGTTTATAATTGATACTTCAATAAATACCTTTAATAAATAGTTTATATTTTCTTATTTTTAATTTTCCACCAAAAATAAAAAAAAATCTTGAAGTAATTAATACACCCTATTATTCATAGTGGAAAAATCAATAATCCCTGTATAAAATAATGTTAGAGATTCAAACTGATTGCATACATTTCAATACTGAGATAGATGCATAAAGAGTCGAGAGGCTCTGCCTTTAATGTTTGCTTTCTAGTAAAACCATGACATCACTAATTGTTTATTGCTATATTTTTGTTAATTTAAAAGCAAAAAATATGACGAAAGTACTTTTACCTTGTCAATATATAGGCGAAACTTTTATAAAGAATAGTTGTTTTTCATTTATGCCTTCGTTTTTCGTCAAATGAGAAGTATATTTCTAAAAGAACATTTTTTATACAAATTTGTAGACGGTTGAAACCGAGATATTGACGTTTAAATTTTTTTTTCGACCATAAGGGCTAATGTAAATGATTTTAAATAATTATAAAAAAAATACTTTCTACAAAGACCAAATTAGATGTAATTTCATTAAATTAGATAATAATTTTCAACAAATTCCAAAACCTAGAGATGTTAAATTGGAAGTGGCAACAGGGCTTACACCGGCATGGAAATTTACGTTATGTAGTATAAGCTCGGGCAGTTATTCATTGATAATACTACGTAAAATCCTTCACTCTATCCCTTCTCTTACTTCTCACCTTTCGTCGCCTCGCCTCGCGTCTAGAAATAGAATATATACAGTACTAACTATTGTTGGCACCATGAATATTATATTTTATGAATGACTGCTTATATCTCTGTTATCTCTGGTTTTTCCCTTTATTAGTTTTTGTGTTATTTATTTATTTTATGGTACAATATCCACGAGCCAAGCCCATTAGTAGGATAAGGTTAGCAATATAAAAGATAAAGGGTGAGATTACAGAACGTCTACAACTTTGCAGATCTGCAAATATAGCGGCAACTTTGCAGATCTGCAAATATACAGATATACAGATACGTATTCCAAAAAATATCTGCAAATTCGCAATAAATCACAATAAATTTTGCTAATTTGAAGATATTGTTTGGAATTCGAAAACTTGATACTTGCATCTGTAAGTCCGCCATATTAACAGATCTGCAAAGTTGTTGCCATATTTGCAGATCTGCAAAGTTGCAGACGTTCTGTAATCTCACCCTTAGCTAATACATATATATAAAAAAAACACAAAATTGATGTAGGTAATAAAAATGGCAATCAGTTGCACCTAAACACTCACTAAAAAAAAAACATGCAAGAAAAAAAGTGGATGTTTAGGAACGACTGTACCGTTAAAGACAAATACATAACTAATCACGAAAAAAGCAAAATATAAACAAAAAACACAATTGGTAAAATACTATCGTTAATAATTAACTAGAAAAAAGTTTTTAAGTTGTCTAACACTGGTAAAATATTGATGAGTTCGTTAAGTGGAGAGAATTTTGAAGCATTTGTTCTACATGGTAAGCTGTAAAATAGGCTATGAGTTCTAGCAGTGATCCTGGTAATTCTGAAGTTGAGAAGACTTATTATGGCTTCACATTTAAAAATAAAATTTACTATTTTGTATAAAAATATTTCGGAGTGCATAGATCTACGACGGTCTAAGCTACAAGTTTTGAAACATGAATACAGACACATACACACACACACACACACACACACACACACACACACACACACACACACACACACACACACACACACACACACACACACACACAGACATAATCGCGAAAATAAATAAAACGGATTTAGGGTATCCCAAAACGTAATGACCCGTCGAAAAAAAAACATGATTACTTACTGGATACAGGAAAATAAAAAGGACTATTCTGTCTGTTGATTTTCTAGCTTATATTGAAAGGCATGCACGATTATCATTGTTTTATTCTCGGTTATTTTGAGCCTCATTCCATTACACCAAATAATTATTTATTTTTGAATTTTTAGAAATAACAATTACGGACCAGAAGAATGAAGTTATCCTTTATATTTGAATTGCTACTAATTTTTATTTTAGTAGCATTTGCAGCATCTGCAGCAGTAATAGGTGAGTAACTTTAAAAATTATTTTTTAACATTATTAATAATCATCATCATTAAATTGTAGATTCCAAATCAAAACTAAAAAAGAATGTCGTCAGAAAAGTTACCCGCGTTAAGCATCACCGGCAGAACCTAAACCAAACTCAGATTGCAGCCGCGACTCAAACTCAAGCTGCTGCTGCTGCTGCTGTTCCAACTCAGTCAAATTCACCAAACAGATTTTGTTCGTGTGCCAAACAGATATGTAACTGTTGTAGGGACTTTAACCTTCAACTCTTGAACCTGAAGGGACCTGGTTGTGCATCTTTACAGTATCTGCAGGGTGATCAGCTCGCGATTTCCATGAGCTTCAATGACAGGGTGCTTACCAACACCACTATCAAAGGTGAGTTTGGAATTAAAAATTATTACAATAGATTTTTGAAACAAAATTTGTGTTATTGGAAATATAAACTCTACTATAATATGTAAAGGACTGTTTCTACTGCGTATAAAAAATGTAGATGTCGTTATAGAAACATTTATTATTTATTTAAAAATTCTAAAACTGTAGAAATAGGCTACAAGTAAGAAAATAAAAAACCATGGATAACCAAAGATCTACAACCAAAATATTGTCTAATTAAAATTACAAAAAAGCCAAAATTATTAACTAGAACAAACTTATAAAAATCTTGAAAATAGATTAATTCAAAAAGCAAAAAAGAATAAGCAAAACGTTTAATAAATTAAAATAAACACTCCTCACAAGAGTCACAAGTATTTGTCTAAATCAGTTATGCGGAAAGACAAGCCCTGAAATAAAAATAACCTCAATTAACAAACATAATGAAATAATTAGCTAATGAATTTAACAATTTTTTAAAGCGACTTTTAGGGGAATTGCGTGAGAGATATATAAAAACACCGAAAAATTTCACGGAAAATATCCCACATTTTCAAAACACCTTTTATCTATATTCTGCTAATGATTTAATAAAATCTCTCAAAACAAAAAATGTCCAATATATATTAGAGGGGGTAAATCAATAAAAGCTTTTTGTGCTTTAACAAAATCCATCTATGAAGATAAATAATAATAATAATTTATATACGAAAACTTAAATGTTATATTGAATTATTATAATTGTTAATGTTAATGGAGATCCTACTGCGAATAAATCGAATATTTCCATCAGGCTCTCAAAAGGCTCTCTCAAAAGATCCACACCGAAGCATTGGTGCGCTAATCAAAGAGGATGGCACGAAAACTGCCAACCTCAAAAATAGCATCAAACTTCTGCTGTCAACACACTTCCCTGACTCGGTCATCACAGACGTGGCCGACTGGGTAGAGGAAGAATACAATCCATCTGTCTATGATTGAAAAACTGAAAAAACACATTGCAGACGATGAAAAAATTAGATGGACAATATCCAGCTTCTCTTCATTTAAATCGCCGGGACCTGACGGTATCTATCCAGCCCTACTTCAGTGGGGTCTGGAAGAAATCACACCGCACCTGGTGGGTTTATTCAGATCCTCGTTGGCTCTGAGGTATATCCCCAAAAAATGGAGAGAGGTAAAAGTGGTATTTATACCCAAACCTGGAAGGATGGATTACACTGTCCCAAAAACATACCGACCAATTAGTCTGACATAGTTTTCCATGAAGACATTGGAAAGACTATGCGAAAGGTACATAAGGGATGTGGTGATTACCACAACACCACTACACCCAAACCAACATGCATACACCCCAGGCAGATCTACTGATTCAGCCTTTCATCTAGTTGCTGGCCGGATAAAAAGATCCCTGGACAATAAGGAGTCCGCCTTGGGTGTTTTCATAGACATAGAAGGTGCTTTTGATAAAACCACCTTCTCAAAGATAATACACTTACTAACCAACAGGAATGTTCCACAAATGGTTAGTGGGTGGATACATAACATGCTCTCAAAGCGGGCAGTAAACATAAGTGTAGAAGATGTGAATATAAGAGGCTTGAATGCGAGGGATGTCCACAGGGAGGGGTGCTATCACCTCTACTGTGAAATATGGTCCTCGACACCCTCATCAGCCGCCTCAATAATGACAGTCACTACACAATAGCATATGCAGATGACCTGGTCATTCTGCAAACAGGGAATTTTGAGAACATACTCTGCGAAAGCATGCAAGTAGCTCTAAAAATTATAGAACAGTGGTGCAAGGACCATTCATTGTCTATCAATACTAAGAAGACAGAAATGGTCCTTTTCACAAGGAAAAGGATGAAAATGGAATTAAAACCTCCAGAACTCCTAAACACAAAACTAAACTTTGCAACAGAGGTGAAGTACTTATGTCTCGCAATTAGAAAACAGTTAAAAGAGCATACATTGCTTATGAACACTGCCGCCGAACCGTGAGGCGCACCTGGGATTTCTCCCCCAGAGTCGTCGCATGGACTTACACGGCTATCACAAGACCTATGCTAACATACAGTGCAGTTGTCTGGGTACCGAATACCCAAAAATTAACAGCTATCCGTAAACTAGAACAAATTCAAAGAACAGCATGTCTCAACATGACAGGAGCCATGAAAACAACACCGACCCGAGCGATGGAAATCAATCTTGGTCTCACTCCCCTTGATATTTACATCAAGGAGGTTACTCTGATGACAATGACACGCCTCCGAACGGTTGGAATAGAACCTGATGTAGGATCTGGTAAGGTGAGACGTCACTTTTGGCAGGAGGCGCTCGATACGCTCCCACTGCTTCAAGCGAACATGGACTCCATCTTACCGAGATATATCTTCCATAAGCCATATATAAAGTTATAATAGAACAAATAGAAGAGCCAGAAGTGGCAGGTACGATTCATATCTACACCGACGGTTCTAAAACAAAACTAGACTCAGCATGTGGAATATACTCCAGATTCTTAAACCTAAACATAAAATGGGCTGTGAACAATAGTGCCAGTGTAGTTCAGAGTTAACGGGGATTCTCATAGCAGCAAAAGAAATAACCAGAAAGAATATCGCTGGAAGGAACATGCTCATCTATATAGATAGCACACAAGCACTACTAGCCCTGAACAGACCACGAATTTATTCAGGGTTAGTACTAGAAGGTCACGAAGCTTTGGCCAAAGTACCCATCAACAATGTGGTCACCTTAAGATAGATCAAAGGTCACGCCACATCGAAAGGTAACCGTCTTGCTGATGCACTAGCCAAGAAATCAGTCAACCAAATTATTTTTGGACCTGGCTCTTCTATTGGCCTGACAAAATCGGTAGTGACAGACCTAATTAAAGAACATTCCCTTGTGAAAATCAGGGAAAGATGGGATGAAACAAGAAACTGCAGAGTTGCCAGGAAGTTCTTAAGTTATCCTGACAACACTGCAGCAAACAAATACTTGACTATGACTAGACAGAATCTGCGCCTCTTGGCGACGTTGTCAACTACATTAAATCTGTGGGCTGGCTCACGAGCTAGGAGGTGCCTATCATCTTAGGAGGATGCAAAATGGGCCTAATGAGGCCTAAGTGCCGTGGAAGTAACCCCCCTTCACACGTTACAGATACAGATGTTAATAATTAATAATTATACTTTATTCTGAACATTACAGGTTTTTATTTTTCTTTGGAATGTCTATATTTTTCCTTTTATAATTGACCCTATTTGAAAAACTAGTATGTGGCCAGAGAAATATATCTACTTTGCCTTTGGAATATACATACACAAAATGATTCAAAATATTTTTATAATTTTTACTGTTTGGTTCCAATTAATAACTGAATATTTTTAGGACGGAAACCACCACCAATCTGTATGCCGCTACCAGGGGGGATATCCAAGTTCTGTGGCCGCGTTTACAACATTGGTCGTCAAGGAGATGAATTTAATGCTTGTTTAGGACTCGAGTTACGAGCTCTAAATGATATAGAAGCAGCAATTAGAGTATCGTGCTTCCGATTCGGTCCAAAAGGATTAAGACTCGAAGCTCCACAACCATTGCCTCCGATAGACGAAGGTGAAGACGATGATGACGACGACGATGATGATGACGATGACGACGACGATGATGATGATGACGATGACGACTTCGGTTTTGATGGAGATGACGACGACGATGATGATGATGACGATAACGACAATGTTGATTATAGTGTGTTTGATGACGATTTTATCGGGGAATATTTCCAGGGTGAAGATGAATCTTCTAGCAGTAATAAAGTTAAACCAACTACCACAACAACATTACGACCAACTTTCAGAAGAATAACTAGAAAGCCAGTCTATAAACCTGTTGACAAAAATACAATAAGGAGAAAAGTAATAAAACACCCAATTAAAACCACCATTCCAACTAAAACTACAGAGTTAAAAAGAAAGTCTTCTATTACTACCAAAAAACCATCTACGACTTCAGAACAACCTTCTTCAGTAATGCCAATGATAGTAAAATCTGAAAAAACTAAAAATAATACTTTACTTAGCAAAGTTAGTGAAAATATGAAAGAAGTTGAAATTACCACTCTGTCCCAGAATAAAATGACAGTAACTACCGAACAGAAAACTGAAAGTACTCCATTCACTACAGAAGCAATGGACAGTATGACAACTTCTGCAGAAGCAGGACTTGTAAAAATTGATACTGCTTCGAATGAAATCGATCAAGTACCAATGAAGTTGGATGAGCAGACCAAAATGTCTGAAACTTCTGAAACTGCAGAAACTACCAGTTATCAAATGCACAGTACAACAAATTTACCCAGTAATACTGAAACTATTGAAGAAAACTTCGCAGTAGATGCTGAAATGTTACAAGAAGAGGCTAAAAAATTATGATTAGAATAAATATATTTTTAAATTTGGAGGGTTAAGTTGATAAAGGTGGTAAATTATTTTATTACTTTGATATAAACCAGCCATAAATGTACATTTTATTTCATCTATAATAGAATAGTAGATCTGCTATAAAATCTTAAAGGTACAACGTTTGTTACTTTAAATCTAGCTAATTTTGCAGATGGTTTGCAAAAGATGAACTAAAACTCAGGAATGACTGGTTTACAAATATTTAGGTACTCACTACCAAAATACAAAACTCTCAGGGATAATTATTGAAATGATATTAATTATTAAAAATTCATATAGAGAGCCTAATATTCCAAAAACAATATAAATAATATTCACATCTTTATTCACTTACCTCTTTTGTTAATTAAAATTTAAACCAGTGAGAAATGTTTAAAATTTTATGGAGACAGAGACTTTGTATTTATTTATGCATCTATTTATTTATTTATTTACTTTTTATCCATATAGAATTATTTTATTTTGAATTTCCAAATGTACTTAAATTTAAGTATTGCTAAAATTAAATAAGGAAACCTACATTTTGAAGGTTTAATTATGTCATCTTTCCTTTATAGTTTTCCCATGTAAAACCAAATATTTACGCCGAAGGCTGTAAAAAGTGCGACGGGGAATCGTAAAGGATATGCTCGATGGTATCATCCTCTTGTTCGCACATCCTGCAGAGTGCGGTTCTGAAAGCCCCATGATATAGAGATGCTTTTACTACAGCAATCAAATCCTTGGCAATGACCAGTCACAATGCCTGTGATCAGGCTCAGATTCTGTCTAGTCATAGCCAAGTATTTGATTGATATAGTGTTGTCAGGATAACTAAAAAGATCCCTGGCAAGTTTGCAGCTTCTTGTTTCATCCCATCTTCCCTTGAATTTCACAAGGAAATGTTCTTTAATTAAGTGTGTCACTATGATGTTATCAGTCCAATAGAAGGGCCAGGTTGGTTGGTTGCCTTCTTGGCTAGTGAATCAGCAAGACGGTTACCTTTCGATGTGACCTGATCTTCGATCGATCTTAAGTTGACCACATTGTTGATGGATATAGTTCAGTCAAAGCTTCGTGACATTCTAGTACTAACTCTGAGTAAATTCGTGGTCTATCCAGGATGAGTAGTGCTTGTCTGCTATTTGTATAGATGAGCATATTCCTTCCAGTGATATTATTTCTGTTGATTTCTTTTGCTGCTATGAGAATATCCGTGAGCTTGGTTTGAACTACACTGGTACTACTGCACACAGCCCATTTTATGTTTAGGTTTAAAGATCTGGAGTATATTCCACATCCTGAGCCTTTTTTGTTTTTAAACTGTCGGTGTAGAGGTGAATCATACCTGCCACTTCCGGCTCTTCTATTTGTTCTGTTATAACTTTATATGTTAGCTTGAAACAGTGGGAGCGTATCCAGTGTCTCCTGCCAAAGTGTAAAAAGTAGGACTTAGGTACGCCCTAAAATATCCCATATATTACTTTCGTACACAGAGACATCAAGGTGACATTACCATAGATATTGGATAAAGAGGTATTACTATCTATAACCCTATTTGAACATTGAGAGTCAATTCTCCGAAATGTTTTGAGATAATCAACATCAAAACATTGACGTGCTTTTCAAGATAGAACAAAATTACAGAATATAGTAATTACAAGTTACAGGTTGATAAGAATCAGTGGCAAGGAAGATTTAATTTTTTTCCAGCTATTGGTGTTATAGATTGTAGGATATATGTCCCAAGAACAAAACTGACGCTAGGATGTAATATAGTACTTCCCCGCCCGTTATGTAATATACTCTATTTCAAATTTCAGCACAGTAATCACTACTTTCTGGTTTGACTTGTCTGTCTCATCCCAGGTTTAAAAACTGTACCTTAATAAAAACAACGCTTTAAACTTTAATATCACTGCAACGAAAAAAAAAAGTTATAAGGCATGTGGTAACTTTCGAGTTTTGTAGTGGCCATTGTCATATACTCCGAGAGTCAATGACATTTTAAGCAATAAGCAGTTCCATGCAGGTACACTTGATCCTTCTAAGAGACTGTTCGGATGCTCTAACTGAAACGGTAGTCAAAATAGACTAACCATAGCCTTGAATATCAGGCCACAGAGGACATAAGCTCAATGAATAGGCTGCTAGTCACTGTCTCTGCTTGGCCCAGAATCCTCTGTGATGTCTCCAAGACAGTCATCAACATATGAACAAGCAGTGGATGATAAAAACTCTCAGGAATGGTGGAATAACTAACCGGGAGAGACATGGGTAGATACTCCATAAAATGACCATTGCCAAGTATCTACTAAGGCAGAATAGAATAAAATAGCCTATAACAGAGAAACTTTAACAATAGTGTGCAACGAATGAGCCTTACAATTCGAGAAGAAAATCCGAAAACAAATAGGTACTTACTACCTACTTTTCTATTAGACTGAATTTGAATCTATAGAAACCTATTATGAAATGCTTCTATGAAAGAATAAGGTGATAACTAAATGTTAATAATGGTTTTCACCTTCCAACGCTACTGTCGAACTGGCGGAGATTGTCATCGGAAAGGAATGAAAGACGTAAAAAATGATTTATTTCAATATCTCATATTAGAAAATATATTACATCATAAATGAATATTTATAAATATACAAAAATAAGTACAACGATTAATTTACAAAATAACATAAATATAGACTTAAAAGAAACCAGGATTAGTATGTTCTATTACACATCTTTTACAATACTTTTTAACAGCCCTATAACCATCTATGGATATCTGACAATCTTGAATATTGAGTTGCTGCAATCCCCTGCAATAATACGCAATACATTGGACTCCTCTATCAGTCACTAAATCACAATTTCTAAGGCTGAGCTTCTTTAAATTAGGGCAGCTTTCCGCTAAAGACCTCAAACCTGCATCGCTTACATCACATTTTCCTATGTCCAAAGCTCTAAGCCTCGTACACGATCGTGCTAGTATATTTATTGCATCATCGGACACAGCTTCACAGCCTCTTGCATTTAGATATCTTAGTTTGTAGCACTTTTTCGCTATAACCTTGAGTCCTGCATCGCTCACTTGATCGCATTTTGCTACTGATAAGTACCGTAATGTAGCACCTAATTTGGCCAATTCGTATAGGCCGAAATCGGTTATATTGGAGCAATCGCTGACGCTGAGTTCTCTCAAACCTGAACAAAAACTTGGCACATACTTGAGACCCGCATCTGAAACAATAAAATGTTGTACACATATATAGTATTACTATCTTAACTAGAACCAGAAAAGGTCGCGATTGACAAGGACAAATAATGTACAACTCTAATCTAAAGTATGACACATCATTGAAAAGCTAATTTTATGGAGAATTCAGCAATATGACTTTTCATTGCGGTACTTTTGAATTTAGCACACTCTAGCGGGATAATGAGATACTAAATTTTTAAATATAAAATTGACTGGTTCGAGCGTTTGTCTAAAATGTTAACACATTTCCCGATAATGGCTCTCGTATGTTTCGTCTGACCACCCTGTATCTCTAATTAAACCACATTGAAATGGTTAATTTTTCTAAGCAGAGCAACGACTGGAAAAAAATTAATACAGTATTTTCAATTTACCGGTTATCTGCACACATCTTCTCAAATAGAGATAGGCTAGTAATGGCGAATTTCGAACAATTACTAATAATCCACTGTCCTGTAATGCAACACAGTCACTTAAGTCTAAATATTGTAGTTGCAGTCTTCTTGTTGATTGTAGTCCATTATTAATACTTATACACGATATTTTAGTACAACCTGAAAAATATAACATTTAAAATTTTCTGTTTTCTACTCTATTCAAATTTACAAATATACAGGGTATAACAAAAATATGTACAGTAAATTTAACCACAGTTTCTGGGGTCGAAAATAAGTCGATTTAAGCTAACATGCTTATCTATAAAATTGATAGTAAAAAAGTTATAGGGTGTGTTAAATTAGAAATTTAAGAAGTTGTTTTTTTGCTATTAATCTAAAACGGCTTAATATATATTTATTTATGAAAATGTACAAGGATGTTAGTATAGGTATCTACGGTGAGCAAAAAAATGAAGTTTAAAATTGGTTTTATTCTATAGGTTTGTAGAAGAGTTCCGCACGCCATTGACCTACTTTTTTAGACAAAAGGCTTGTTCTGGTTTCTTCAAAATGTACTGTAAACCGTCTGAGAATCAGTGGAACAGTTGAATATTAAATTATGAGCCACGTAAAACTTTTCATCTTTCTACTGGTCATCTATAGTACTCGGACAGTTTTCAACATATTTCTAAAGAACCAGAACAGACCTAATGAAATTCAGTTAAAAACAGGACGCCACTAAAATTCTATATCTGTTTGGAAACCTGGTTATACTTACATTATACATGCCAAATTTGGCCCGTATTTCTGGGACACACGGTAGAGTAATTATTATTTTTTCTTTTTAGATCAAGTTAAATTTTTAAATAGTATATTACGTAACAAGAGTTGTAAGTAACGTACTATACTTTTTCTACGCCCACTTATTTTCTTTTATTAAATAAAGGACATATGCTTGTGTCGCTAATCCATAAATTTTCGATAGGTAATTTCGTACATGTTTTTTGGATTTTAGCGGTAACAAATTATGTGTGGCAGCTTGAGCTTTTTCTAAAATCTCTGATGGAGTGCTCATAATTTCATCACTTTCACTACTAACAGATATATTCATAGGTAAAGTTAAGAAAATGTTCAAATACAATATTTAGTATATTGTATAATGTGTTGCCGACATTTAGGGGCATAATTTTTTAATCCAAAATGTATCTCGCTATTGCTAAAAGTTTTTGTTTTTAAATTGACTAAATTTATGTAAATGAACCAAATAAAGTCTTACGTAAATAAAAATTTGATTGCAATTTAATTAAACTAAAAAAATTAAGTTTTCTTATCAAAAAGCACGTGTATGTTATGAGATCTCATTACGTGCATGTTATTATTAAATGTCATTTACAAGGAATGTTGACAGTGCGATTTTTAACGTTTATTCACATGGGCGTAAAAAAAAATTTATAGTGATTAAATATCTTTTCATGTTTGTATTATGCCTATCTCCAAAGTCGAAAGATGATCTGTATCATAGGCAAACATCAATACATTTAGTTTGGCGTTTCTATCTAACCCTGATTTTTCGCTTGCCTTTTCAGGGAAAATAGGGAAATATATAAAATTAAAGCCAGACAAAACCTATATTCAGATTACTTACTGTCTTAGAAATGCAAAACGTTTTAATAATACTAAATTAATTAAATACTAGATCCTAGGACAAGGTCAGAAGGACAAGCAACCTATAGGTGCGTTTTAATCATCCGCTTCTGCTTCCGGAATTGTCGGTTTAGTCGTTTTAACCTGTCAGATTAAAACAAGAAAACTGACAATTCCGATGCAGAAGCGGATGATTAAAACGCACCTTATAAATTGCAGCAAGCAGCAAGAAGTGAACATCGGCCATGGCCCCTTGGAATCACATGAAAGCCTGATGAAGAAGATTTCTTCATCATAACTGATTTTGTAAATAGTATTAAATAAAGATATATTATTATTGAAGTTCTATCTAAATAAGTTGGATAGAAAATGGCGCCGATTGCATTCTCTAAGAATTCATTAAAGTGGGACTTTTATTTTTTTACATTGGTATTGGTACTAATGGTAGCATTGGTACACAACTTCAAAATTTAAATCTGATATCAAGATCAAGTTACCCTTTGCTCATGCTAGAAAATTAAGAATGCAAAAGTAGCAAATAATCTAAATTTATAACTAAGTTAAGACATTAATTATAGGAAAAATTTTTAAACAATTATTTGTGTTTAGAAATAATATAGTGCGAATTGCGAAGGTAAGTAGTATAATTATGAACTCAAGTGGCGAAGAAGGTGGAAAACTAGAAATTATTGAAATAAAAGGATGGACCATTGATAAAGGTAAGTATTTTTACTTTATTATTCGGTTTTTATTAATATTTGTTTATATTATATCGCTGGTGTCATTCTAATACCTCATAAAAACAAAAATCACATTTTATAGGAGTAACTAACAACCGTTGTGTGTCTAATACGTTCGTATACGAGGTACCTATAAAAGTATAATTATTTAGTTTTAAACATTTTTGTGGGTTACCTACGAGGTTTTCTGTAACGATATTTTTACAAGGTACTACACTGTGACCCTCGAATATGCATATGGGTAATGCGACAATTTAATGAAAAATCACATGTTTGCCAAAAGTGAAACTTACGAGGTATTAGAATGACACCGGCGATATGCATGATTTTGCATAAGCTTCAGTTAAAATTAGATTTTAGATCTTTACATATTTTTTATAAATAATATTAATTTAACATCTTTTGGGTATTTTGGTGGGATTCATACTATATACGAGGTGTTTTCTGAAGTTATATTTTTTTAACTGTGTATTACAGGGTGGTCTAGCTTATATCGCCAGGATTTCACCAGCTTCGATAATTTATCGAAAAATAAAGGTACTTTGTCCAATAAATTATATGATCCATTTTCCTTTCTTTTTGATGTATGAAATAAGAGACGTGCAAAATTGTTAGTTTTCATTTTTTCCTCGAAAACAAAGATACGAATAAAAATTTAGAAGACAACAAAGTTGTATTTTTAATTTATTTAAAAAATATATAAAATACCTAAAAAATCTACTGGGCGATATTTTTTGTACTAAAACTAATGGAAGTACCCTGTGAGAATTACTGTATGATATGTCAAAAAGACACCTTGTAAAATTGTCAACAAACTGTGAAAATTTCATTAAAATCGGTAAAAGCCCTTTTTTGATATTAATAAAAAACTATTTAAAAAAATAACTTTAACATCAAAAAGGGAACAAAATTGGACCTTGTTTTATCAGACAAACTACCTTTATTTTTCGATAAATCCTGACGATATAAACTGGACCACCCTGTAAAAGTCAATAAAATAAACATTTTCAAAAAGAAAAGAACTAAATAAATATTTAGATTTGGTAATCTCGACACGTCACCCGAATATATGGATCAGTCGAAATGGATCAGTTGCGTGATCACTTTAAAGCCACCACACCTCCATGTGAAAATGTAACGACTTCTATACACAGTTAAAATAAAAGCATCAACTTTTATCACCCTGCATAATAATTCTACTCTACTTAAATTATATTAAGTTATAGCACTTTTACTAGGAATAATAATATAGGACCCAAAAAATGTATTTCTATATTAACCTAAAAATCTTGAACTCACCTGTAATATCTAAATGCTGCAAACTGGTGCACCTTGTGGCAATCTCAAATATGACACTGTTAGTTAAATTCGTGCAACCCTGCAGTTGCAAGTGCGTTAATTCTGGACATCTTCTTGCTAATAGTATCAAACTTTTTTCTGACAACTTAGCACCGTTGGTAATGTGTATTCGCTCTACATTGGGGCATGCTCCAGTCTTTCCTTGTCCACAGAGTTGTCGCAACACACAGCGAATAGCTTTATCACCACTGATATTATCATCTTCTATTGTTATCACCCTCCAAAGAGATGGTGTCCAGGCTAGAATGTCAAATCTTCTGCAGACCTGTGCGCATATACTTAAATCGACGCTGGTTAGAAAGGAAAATACTTTGACAACTAATTCATCTGGGAGTTTGTCAAACGAATTGTTTTTTGGTTGGTACTTTTTACCTTTATAAAGGTTTGTGTTCCAAAAAGTTGGGGTGATTAGACCTTGATTGGGTGTTACCAAAGTGTGGTATCCCTGATCTAAGCTGGGACTGGACTTTCCTAGCCTGGTGAAGTTATCCAGAAGACAGTTGGTGTCTTGGATCTTGGTGAAAACATTTTGATTGGCGGATTCAATGTTGTTTATTTTGCTGTGTTTATCGTGATCCCAGTAATGTTCGTTTAAAGGGAAACAAGATAGCTCTATTGAATCTTTGTTTGAATAGGGGGAATTGTCATTCAGTCGCTCATTGTTGTAGGAATCGGGTAGATAGTAGTTTTGCTGAAAATCAAGACACTATTATCACCTAAATGTTTTATTAAAACAATGCAATTTCATATTTACTTTAGAATACCTACTTAATATAAAAAAAGCAGATTTTGGACATTCCAGAAGACTTACCACATAATTAAAATTTTGCGATTTTTCTACAGGTAGTTGTTTGTTTTCATACTTTTGCTCCGAATTTTCTTCGTATGTATCTATATATAACGGATGGTAGTTAAAATTTTCAGATATATAGGATGATGGGATTTTCGAGTTGTTGTCGATGGCTTGTTTTCCAGAGTTTTGACCTAGTCTTACCAAAGGACATGTAGATAATCGCTCTGAAAGTTCTGGGCGTTGATTCATGTCTCGGAAGGCGCTGAAATATTAAAACTTAAAAACAAACATGTCTAATTTTATTTATTAGATAAGAAGTTGCTATTTTAAAACTTCGCTTATTTGTTTTGCAAACTTGAAGAGGACCCACCCGATTTTGTAAATGTTTCACATGTTGTAATACTTAATACTTCTGAATAATAGGACAATTTTTAAAAATGCTGCACTTTTTTACAAAATACTTTAATTATAGATATTTTCCAAGAATAATGCTTTACTGATATCAAATATTTCCAGTATAACCTATGACGTAAATTATTATCTTTTTGATTATAATAAATTTTAGGAACATCCTGTTTTTATGGTTCTTAAACCTTATTTTTGCATTTTTTGTTTTGATATTCTTAGAATGTAAGTTGCTGTTTTTTATTTTAAATAAAACTACAGTTTTAAATTATGATTTGTATATAGCTTCAGGCCTCTGTTTTGTGCCTTCTTCAGTACTTTTATTTTAATTAAATATTAAATATTTGATATGAGCAGGGTCCAAAGATCCATAAGCCAATATTGTTTTTAAATAAGAAAAAAAAAACTAATACTAAATGAATAACAAGTAAACAACCGAAGTACAATAAAACAAATGAAATATTGATTTGAAAATAAAAAATGATCAAATTCGTTCTAGAAAACACTTATTTTTTTTAATTTTAGCACCTTATAAAACAGACCGTAAATTTTAAAACCTTATAAAATCAAAGAAAATTTAAAATTTCTTTATAATTTATTTTAAAATCAGGAAGCAAGTTTAAGTAAATCTTTATTGACCTGACATAAAAACATTTAAATCATAGTGTATTCTAAAAATATAACTTCAAGCATCATATACAGGAAGAATAAAAAGTTATACAAAGTTGAAATGTACAAAAATTGCCATTTTTTTACAAAACTCCCTGTAGAGAGATAATCGTTCAAATCAAGTATGATTTTGATATATTATAAATAACAATCTTAGCAAGTTTATTTTCACAAGTTAATCCATGTTCATACGACTAGTTTTTTTTTATAAATAATCAATTTTTTTATTGTTTTCTGCAAATTTTGCAATGAAAATACTGTCAAATTAATTGATACCTATTGTTATACATTCTGCAATGCAAAAAAAGGTATAAAAACTAAGTTTTGTTCATAATTACACATAATATAATATACCTAACTGATTTGTCTTAATTCCAATATACAGGGAAACTCACAACGAACGTTTTATTTCGTGACGTAAATATTAAAATCTTATCATCAATTCTGAATTACCTGCCTACTGGAGAAGAACCACTAACGCGCCATTTTTATGATCTCAAAGATCAACAGAAGGAATTGATAACGAAAACGTGTACTAGTATAGTAGATTTATTTTGTTTAAACTAATAGTAAAAATTTGAAAACCCTCTATGTTATGTTGGGAATGGGGTGTTAATACACTGCGTCCTAAAATATCTATTGTGCCCCCTTCTGTCGATAATGCAGCAAAGAAATGTATCTATGCCTGTAACGACTCTTCCAATCCTATCTTCTCAAGGAAGTGTAGGATTTGGAGTGGCTTCAAGTTAGGTAAATCTCCCTCTTTTATTTGATATACTCCTAGGTATAGTGCCCTTGGATTCTGGAGTGCTACACATTCAATCAGAATGTGAAAGGAGGTTTCGTCCTCTTCCTCACAGAATCTGCACTCACTATCTTCTACTAATCTCAGTTTACTAAGGTGTTCTTTGAGTCGGCAATGCCTAGTAAGGGTCCCTGTTACAATACGTAGCCTGTTCTTTCTTGCTTAGGCAGATACAGCTTTCCTATATTTTCTGGTTATATTAACCTAGAAGTATCTCAGTCTGTCTTAGCCCCAAGAGATTGTTCCAATTATCGGTCCAATTTTTTTTTAATCTCTCCTAATATTGTGTTACTGCTGATACCGCAGAACGGCTCAGGGGGCTATTTTCAAACTCGAGATAATGTCATACGTCAACGTAAAACAATATTTTTAGGGCTCTTAGGGCCAGTGTGAACTCACGGACTGTTTCTATCGGTTTATTTGGAGATAATTAAAATTCTCCTAAGAATTTTAGTCCTCGAGGCCTTTAAAAACAGCGTTTCCACATTGACATATGACATTTCTGATAAGAATCTTGAGAGAAATGAGTGCTCCCATACTTTGAAAATAGCCCCCCAGGTCCCATAAAGGATGTTGAGCAACTTTCCTTGAGAGACTATCTGCAATCTCGTTATGCTGTATCCCGTTATGTCCCGGGCCCCAAGTAAGAGTAATTGTATTTTCCTCGCCTAGCTCATTCAATTTTAGGCATCTCTAGACCATTTTTGAGCTGATTACGAAAGAGCTCAGCTCTTTCATGACTGTTTGGCTAGCGGACATGATGATAATCTCTTGTTTACGATAATTTCTCTCGATGTTTAACTGGATATACTTTTTAATGGCGTGGATTTCCGCCTAGAAGATGCTTGGGTATTTTCCCAAACTTTCAGGGTGCCTGGTTTTAGGCCCATACACTCCTATTCCAGTTCCTTCTATGGTTTTCGAACTATCCGTATACCACTGAATAGCATGTCTTTCGGGTACAAACACGATGTATTCTTGGGTCCATTCTTTCTTGCAGCCCAGCTCTGTGGTTTTGAAGTTTTTCATAAAACTTCTTCCTCATTTCATCTTGGAACATATCCCAAGTATCTTCGGTCTGATTATTCCGTTCCTAATCATTCTATATCGTGTCTTTTTGCTACATTCTCTATCATTAAATGTAGAGGGGTGAGGTTTAAAATTAATTGGGGCCGTAGGACAGGTTCTCATTGCACAGGTGATGCAAACACAGGCTAGGCTTTGTACTAGTAGCTAAACTAGTTCTGTTACTCCAGGCTATAGCTCCGGAAGTGATGATTTGTCTCACTATTGTAGTATACATCCATCGCATGTATGTTCCAGAGAAGTTTGTTGTTCAGGGTTAGGACTAGATATTTGACTATTCTATGTCTCTTTCGTCTGATTTGAAGGTTTTGAGTTTAAGTTTTCTTTTCCTTGAAAAGGCTTCTAGTGTTGTTTTCGTGTGGTTTATGCTAAGTCTCGCCTCACGGCACCATCTTTCGATGTTCTCTAGTCCTCTTGGACTATGTCACAGAGGATATTTCCAAACTTGCCTCTAGCAAATATGACTGTCTCGGCGTAATCTTGACAGGGTATGCCGAGGTCAGTCAATCTAAATAAAAGTTCGTCTATGGGCATAAAACTCTTCCTTTTGGACTTTCTCTGGTTGTTCAGATGGAGATGGTGTCCTACCCTATCCGTGTCTGTGCAGTTCTCGTAGATTGCAGCTGAGCCATTAATCTGGATGTGGTGCTATCTACTCATCTGTATGCAAGTGCTCTTTTGACAGATTCGTGCGGTGTATTGTCAAATGTTACTTCTATGTCTAGAAAGGCACACACGACCGTTACTTTATCAGTGCATGCCTTCTAAGGAACATACTAAAATTCGTAAAAATGTTCCTAAAACAATGACCTAACACATACATACCTAATAAATGTTGCGTGAAATTAATATTTAAGTTAAGTTAAAGTCAGCAGAAGGCAGTAATAAAAAAATTGATCCCATACAAAAAAAAAATTGTGAAAATAAACTTGTTAATAAGATTGTTTTTGAGATTTGATCGATTAATTGTCTTTCTACAACGAGTTTTGTAAAAAATGGCAATTTTTGTATTCAACTTTATGTAACTGTTTATACTCTCCCTGTATCTGATATCCGAAGTATATATTTTTGTTGGTGTGATGTACTTGTTTGGTACCCATTACGATATTCAGGGTGTATTGTAAAATAGCGACACTCATTGAACCAACTTTTTGGCTCATCCCGTATACATGTATTTTTTATAATAATATGGTGTCATTTACACACACTTCATAAATTAATAATACCTTTATTATTATTAAATTAGGCGTAAAACGATTTTTTTAAACATACAATTTTTCTAGTTTAAAGTTAGTATTGTATTTTGTTAGTTACGAATATTCTAGAGAGCCAAACCATGATTTTTAATATTTGTGAATGTCAGCAAAATTTCAACGTTTGTCTTAAATTATTTTTTAAAATAATGAAAATTCACAAGATCAAAAACTAGTCATAGGAAAACTTTGCGCTCCTGATGAACACTTTTAATTGGGAGGTCAAAAACTGCAACGTATATAAAATTCAGCAGATTCGACTGAAAGCCATTTGCCATAAGGAAAATGCCTGTTCTTTTTACAAACTGACTAAAATAACTGATAATTACAAAAAATAGAATTTAATTAAATTAACCCACATATTATTCAATTTATTTTTCGTTTTTAAGAAGCTGAAGAGTACTTATTTTAATGATTTTATTTCAGAATTTGTATTATATATATTGTTAGTATCTAATAAAAAAATTAAGTATTTATAAAGATTCTACCACAAAAATAAATAGGTAACAACAGTAAAATTAACAAAAATACGTTACTAGCATTCATACTTGTATAAAACACTGAAATATTTTTAAAATAACAACACATTTTTATGAGTGTAGAATCAAATATCCTTGAATTAACAAAGACTAATATCCAAAGTATATTTTTATAACTAAGCTATACCTAAATACTATAAACAAATAACTAGAAATAAACAAAAGGAAACGTGTCTTTTTAATTATTTATATAGATATATAACAAACATATTTTTGCAACAATGAAACATTAAAATAATTGTACCTATACCTATCGATGTTAAATTAATTACATTCCAATCAAAATAATCACGTAGCAAATGATTTTAACAACAAAACTACCTTCCCTTTAATAAAGTTATAGTATATTCGTTAATATTTCAGTAGGCATATCTGAAACTTCGAACAATAAGGTGAAGGTATGTACAAGATAAGTAGGGTAAATGGCAATTCAAAAGGTCGTCGACATGTTGACTTACCTTAACCTAAAATTTCCTTAATAAAAGTAGCATACTATTCTCTCAAGTTTCACTGTCATTTTTACTTTTAACAACCCTTCGACGATTTGTGTTCCACCAGGAAACGTCACAGACACCCCCATATGGGCGATTTTCACAACGTCTCACTTTCTTTGTATTGGATTGGACACTTATATTATTCACTTTACTACTTCTGCATCAAATGCTTATAGATTTCTTGTGCTTGTCGTAGTGTTACCAACAGCGAATGATATAACGGAGAAATGGTGACAGGGATGTACTTAAAACTTTTGTCACATCGCATCACACCGTATCATATTGTTTGAAGTATACAGTATACTTGACATATATTGAAGCAGATTTTAGTTGTATGTCTTGTGTATAAATTTATGTGTGCTGAGAGGGTCGAAGCATGTACGAGAGAGTGGAATTTTGTGAAGAGCATTTTTGTTAGTTTCTCTTGCAACTGCTCGTTAAAGTCTCCTGGAATTTTACATTAAATGTTGAACTAGCGGCTAACAGGAGAAAATCAACTGAATTATATAAGAGTTAGTGGAATATGTATTATTTATTTTACACTAATTTGTATCACAAAAGTTAATTTTGTACTTTTGATAGACAGAAATTAACCAAAACCATTTTATGATTGAATGTTACTTAATATTTAAAATGCATCACAATTTAAAACTGGGATAATCAAAAGTAGTTATATTTTGAGTAAATGTCTAGATTTGATTTATTCTGAATTCAAAATCGTAGAGGCTTTAAAAATTAAAGTACTTATAAAATGTATCATGTAATATTTTTCTGAGAATATAGTTACTTAATCAGTTTTCTTTTGTTCAAATAGTTTCTATATAAAAAAATAAGCTAAAAATGAAAGGGTTCACAATTAGAATATACATATATGCCAAATAATATTTGGTTATAGGTATTGAGGCTCATTCAATATTTACCTATATAAAAATAATACTATTAGGAACGGTACACGGAACAACTGAAGATTATCTGTTTAAAAATAAGACAATTGAACGAAACATGCTTAGATAAAATATTACTGGTTTCCGAAATATAGGGTATTAAAGTTGAAAATTCAATAATTATTATTGGTTATAATTTTTTTATTTCTCAGCATAATTTTACTAAATTCGGTAAGCATTTTTGGTATCATATAAGATACACCTATCAGCCAAACAGTGTTTAATAAACTTTGCCAGTGAAAAGAACTGGAAGGAACATGCTCATCTATACAGATAGCAGACAAGTACTACTCATCCTGAACAGACAACGAATTTATTCAGGGTTAGTACTAGAATGTCACGAAGTTTTGGCCGAAGTATTCATCAACAATGAGGTCACCTTAAGATGGATCAAAGGTCTTGCTGATTCACTGGCCAAGAGAGCAGCCAACCAAATACTTTTTGGAACTGGCCCTTCTATTGGCCTGACAAAATCGTTAGTGACAGACCTAATTAAAGAACATTCCTTTGTAAAATTCAAGGAAAGATGGTATGAAATAAGAAACTGCAGAGTTGCCAGGGAGCTTTTAAGTTATCCTGACAACACTGCAGCAAACAAATACTTGACTATGACTAGACAGAATCTGCGCCTAGTCACATGCATTCTGACGGATCATTGCCAAGTACGGAAGCATTTCCACATCATGGGGCTGTCAGAATCCGCACTCTGCAAAGGGTGCGAACAAGAAGATGAGACCATCGAGCATATCCTCTATGATTGCTCGACTTATAGTATTGGCTATAACTACCCATACTTAATGTGGCAAATTAACTTGTTATCTATAGTTTACATTTTTCGGTATTTTTATTTTTTATTTCTTAAATAATTATAATTTTTTATGCTTTTATGTTCCAGTTTAATAAAAAAACTACAAAATATTAATTAGTAATAAAATTATTGAAACATAATAATATATAATTTACCGGTAGCACTTAGGCCTTACGAACCAATGTATCTATATGCAAAATAGGTCATCAAATGGTACGATTGATTATAACATATAATTAAAACTAACCATAATGGAGAATAGTTTAGAAAGAAAAGAAGTGATTAAATAATGCGGACTCCATTGTGGCCAAGAATCAGAGGACGCAAGAGATTGTGGGATGAAATAGGAGAGGATATAACAAACTCTATTGATTGCTCATAACCACAGGATACATGGTTCCTTGGAAGTACGTCGAATGGTTTTTAGAGACAATTAATTGGACAAAAATTTTGAATTACCTACCTGTTGAATAATCAAAACGTTCAAGTGTAGGCATAAATGAAGTGAAAAGTAATCCGACAAAAGGATAAGATAAGAGTAGCGATTTCTGGAAAGTTCATGACATTATTTTTATTGACTATCAAGACAGTGTCGGTGATTAGGGGAGCAAGAGAGCAGAAGTAAATGAATTATAGGTATTCTCACTATGTTGTGAAAGAGTAAACTTCATACATACGTTAATGCATTGTAGGCTGATGTCAAATCAACCATATTTGTTAAGGTTGTGCTGCATAGTTGAAATGGACTTGTACCTTTTTGTAATTTTAAACAAGCAAATGAAAGAGAGTTCAGATTACAAAATTACACAGAACAAGGTTTCATCTTCCCTCATATACCTAGCAAATCAATGTCACTGGTGATGCATTTGTAGTAGAAAAATCGAAATAAATATACATTTAATCAGTTTTAGTGACTGACCCTCTATAGTTGCAATTTCGGACAATGAACAGTCCCAATCCTCTGAAATTGTAAGCGTCAAATTGTTGTAATTACGTTACGAAATCGTTCATCGTTCCACCTATTCTCTAGATTTGGTACCCATTGGTAATTTGTTTAATTCGGAAGTAGGCAATAGAAGAAATACCAAAATATAAATGATTTGTTTCAAAATAAAAATGTTACAGCCTTGTTGAAGATATAACAATAAAAATCATGCATGAAATAGTAGGTACTCTTATTATTAGAAACGTCCTTGCATATTAACATTATATTGTCCGGAGTATATAGAATAGTTGAATAGAGGGTATTCATTGTCAAACGACCTTCTATTAAAATAATGTACGAAACGAAATACCAGTCAAAGGGACAGAGTGATACCGCGTATAAAACAGTTTAAGCAGAAATAACTAAAGAATTTTTGAGTAAGATAAATAGAATTTTGTTAGAATTGACGAAGTATTTAACGTGAAAAATAAAACTAGAATAATGAAAATCCATTTAAATTTAAATTTGATAGTTTACATGCAAAATAACAATAACAACAACTGGTAATGTTGCTTACAATTTTGTTTAATAGCGGTAGGTACCTAATTAGTATAATGAATAAACTTGAATGTTCATAAAACTTTTTGTGTACAGTTTTCTGGAAAATACAATTATTTTTTACACCTTGCATTATTGAGTTAAAATATAGTATACACGGTACAGAGTGTTTTTAGTTAAGTATAATTAATTTGAAAAAGCATCTAAAAGAATAAAAATTAATGCGCTAATTTTAAATTAATTAATTTATTCTCATGAACAGGAAGCTACAATAAATATATCGATTATCTTCATTTATCGCAGAAAGATTCAATTCTCAGTACCCTTTGTAAACATAAGATTCAAAATTGGTTTTTGTCCAATCTTTATAAATTTTCGCTATACATTTCTTATCACTGCAATGTAAGTATATTTTATTAAAATAAATATGAAAAATAATAAAATTTCAAAGTCGTGTGGCACAAAATCATACGAGCGACCATTTCCCTCCAGAAAACAATTTCTCCTTTGGCTAATAGCAATAAAATATTAAATTTAGGTTGAATATGAGTGGGACAATAATATTTCCTTCGACTGTGACCTAATAGGATATCTTGCGATTCAATTCGCGCCTAATGAAACTTGTTTGATGTTGGTAGGCTCTAGTTGTATCAATTTGATCTATGGAGCCTATAATTATTTAGTCTGACCAAATCAAATCTTTATTAATTCGTTATAACCAGTTACTAGTTATTAAACATGTCAGTATACAGTACGTTAGTCAACGCATCAAGCAAAATAAAGATGAGACGCTTAATTATATTTGGCCGGAAGATTGAACCGATTAAAGAGCGTAACTTGGTTTAACTACGCTCTTTCTATGACAAGGAGGAGATACTGCGGCAGCAGTCGACGATGTATTATCCTATTTATGTCTACTCTATCCTATTTATGTCTACTCAATAGCATTGTTTTTCCATACCGTTCTCCTGGAAAAAGTTAATTGTTAATTAATATTAATAATTTTGTGTGAAAGGGAGTGGACGCTAGGTGGGTAAAACAACGTCAATGGTTATCAAGTATCTTAGATGTGAGACAGTTATATGTTTCCATCCTTTTGAATTTTACTTACAAAAATAAATAAATATTACAGAACATTACTCATAAATTAAAAATATACAATTTCTTACTAGTCTCTAAAAACTATTGGACATACATTTATGCACGACCGGGCGATAAAGTCCAGAATATAAATACGTTTATCGGGCGTAAAGTGCCTTTTTATCACCCGCAGACTACTTTACCGCCTGCTAACTACTTTACCGCCCGCCGGGCGATAAAGTAGTGGTATATTATTCAACGAGCCAGTAATGATGCCATTATCCGCGAGTAGAATACTATAATTTTTCTATGATTATTAAATTAAATAATAGAATATTTTATTTCATTTTTTGTTCCAAAATTAATTGTGAAATTAGAACAGTTTTGCAAATTAACAGACTACAACTGGTTTTCCGTGTAGGTTGTAGTTGTAGTCGAATTTTGTTGAAAACAATTGAGTATTGAAAGAAATAATTGAGTAATGAAAAAAGAAAAACTCACTGTATGAGTAACCACATTAATTTTTTTTATTTCTTTTAAAAATTCACATGTAGTTAGTAAAATTTATTAATAAACGATCATTAAAACGGTCGTACATAAAATTTTATATACTTGTTAATAAATTATCATTAAAAGGGTCGTGCATAAAATGTTGTATGTATTTCGGGCGTAAACAGCATTTATGGTTCTTACGTGTTAATAGCCCTCGCCTAACGGCTTGGACTCTTACTTACACGTTGCGATTCATAAACGCTTGTTTTACGGCCTTGCAGGGCCGCCGAGAGCCAGGTGGGGCCTCGGGATAATTTTTTCCAAGTGGGGCCCCCCGACAATTTTATAAATTAAGCCCTTTTAATATCACATTTCTAAAAAAAGCCCTCAACCAAAAACTTAGTTCCTTGAAATCCCAAAAAAAATAGATCCTCATCTTGTATTCTATATAAAACCAGCGCTCCTCTCTTTTGTGGCAAACTTCTAAAAAAACAAAACTTCCTCACCTAAAAGATGCCGGGCCCCGGGAATTTGCCCCTCTACCCCCCTCTCGTCGGCCCTGCGCCCTTGATACATAAATAACTATTATGACATTTTATAATTTTATATTTTTTTTACCTGTTACATATAATAAACTATACTTTAAAAAAAAAGAATTCATATAGTTTATTGAAGGATCTAATAAAATTATTTTTAATCAACACGAACATAAGTTCCACACATATCCTATATCCATAATACATCATTTTGTTTCTATATCTTGCCTCATCTATATATAAAAGACTATATGGTAATTTTTTTCCTATTAGGATGTTTGTAATTTTTGAAATCTTTGCTATTTTAAAGTGTTTGTAATTTTAAAATCGGTTTATACATATTTCATATTTTGAATAAATTGTAATTTTAGAATATTTTACTTTAATTTTTACTTTCCTATCTGTATACAGATATAAGGAAAGTATAGGAATCATGATTTTTTTCGACCTCGAGTTTTCGACGGATTTTTATATATAAAAAAAATAAACAGTTTTTTCCACGCACAACCATTAGTGGAGTAAAATTGTTAATTAAAAAAAAACACTATTATTAAATAATTACTTGCTATAAGTTTTTAACTCGAAACAAGTGAGTATTCGCTTATTGAGTGTAATTTTATTCACCTAATTGATTTTAAAATGCTAAAAATCATTTGTATTTATTTATATTGTATTTATTTTTTTTATAAATCGAAGGCCACAACGTAGGACCTCGTAACTAACATTTCCAATGAAAATTATAATTTATTATAATCTCGTTTAAAACAATTCACTCCATCTACTGCATAGGGAAAGAATTACAATTTTTGAACAAAACATGGGTAAATATTAGTCCTATTACACAGCCCCACAAAAAAAAGTGTTCAGACTTGGCAGTCGGACATATGTATTCCCATGTATTTTTCGACGCTGAATCCGATCCCGAGCTCAGAAATGGCCCTCCACGTCTGGAATTGGCCCCAGGGGCCAAAAATGGCCTCTATATGGCCTGAAAGATGGATTCCGAGATGAGGCGTGGTTGAAGGTGCATTCTAAAGCCAAAGTCGGGTTTGTGGTCGAAAAGTTCACGGACAACTGTAATTCCCTGTTTAGGACCGAAAAAATGGCCCCTTAGGGACCGAAAATCGTGTTTCGGACGTTGCAATCGATACAGTGGTATTTTTATGTTCTTTATTTATGTCCTAGTTCTCGAACTCAGACTGTGCTCGAAAAGTTTATGGCCAACTGAAATTCCCACTTTGGGACCGGGAAAAACGACCCCTTATGGGCCGGGAAGTCGTGTTTGGGACGTAATAATCGAGTGGTAGTCTCATAAAAATTGAGTGAAGCCTACTCTGCGAATAGATTTGACGCCGAGGTTTCATCACGCTCGGTTACGGCCTTAATTAAAGAATTACTCCTATATGATAGTTTTCCCCGGTATCTAAAAGATCCCGAATGCTCCATCCACCAATTCTAACGCGTCTATACTTTACCCATGTATTCCTCTATACTCAATTGTCAAGTATAAAGAGTAGTTTAAACGATATAGTATAGAGTCCCCGACTACTTCCTACATACAGTGAAGTATACGGGGACCCCTAATAAGACACAGTAGTCTCGATTGTGTGAGGAAAACCCTCTCAGATGACGTTCAGGCCGGAGTTTCGGTACACCAGGTCTCCGGAGGTACGTTTTCGTGATGGAATTTGGATTCCGCGTGCCTAGAAACCCCCATGACGATTTTCGGTTTGTCTTTAGCGATTGTGTCAGGAGAACCCTCGAAGACGACGTTTCGGTGCACTAGGTGTTCGGGGATCGTTTTCGACGTGAAATTTGGACCAGGGGCCCCAAAAAAATAACCCTACAAGGTTTTTCGGCTTGTTTTTGGCAATCTTGGCAAGAAACTTCTCGGAGATGACGTCCACGTGCCGGTTCCAGCGCACCAGGTGTTCAGGGATTGTTCGCCGATATTATATTTGAATTCAGCAACCTAAAAAACCCCGAGCGCTGAGTTTCTCTCCTTACCCGCGTGAATTTTGGGATAGTCCCTGTAGATAACATTCATCGGCGTTCCTGACCTCCAGGTCGGCTGTGGTTCAATTTGAACATCATAATCGTGATTAGCGACCTCGAAAACCCTCAGGAACTCGACTTGGGCCAGTCCTGACTCTTCCACCTTTCAGACCAAATAGAGGCCATTTTTGACCCCTGTGGCCAATTCTAGACGTGGAGGGCCATTTTTGAGCTCGGGATCGGATTCAGTGTCGAAAAATACATAGGAATTACATATATCCGACCAGCAAGTCTGAACACTTTTTTTTTGTGGAGCTGTTTTATAGAGTAAAACGGATTGATCTATGCACTTATGCATCGGTTTTTTTCTTCTCCTGAAAAATGACTTACAAGGTCCTGCCTTGTGGCCCTTGAAATAAATTATTAGAAATGAATTGTACTATTTGACAATAAATAATAGGATAGTAAACTTTTTGTGCGACTTGGCAGCAGTGTAAGACGTAAAAGAATTATTTCTGAGCTTGGATTTGAGACATTATGGAAAATATATTTATTTAAAAAAAATTATTTGTATCGTGATACCTATACAAGTACGTATACTTAGTTCCTTTATAAGATATATATGTCAAACTAGATAATGACCAAACAACAATAATATAAATATAACAATTATAATTATAGTGGATTTATCTTACTCCATTCATAAGCTCGTGCCGGATTTGTTTCCTTTTTATACGCAACAAAACTGATAATTTGTTTAAACATTGTTAACTTTTATTTAGTAATGATTGTTGGTAGTTAAAATGATTAAGACAATAATAATTGTGAGTACTCCCATGCCGCTGATTGCTATACTTTGTCCGAGAATGTTCACATCGTTCGCTTGATCGAAAGTGTTCTGGTTCCGCTGCCAAACATTTGGCTAAGTCCGATCCTGGGTCTAACTACCTGTTCTCTCTCAACTGCGTTCATCAGGCTTAGTTCGTTTGCTCTCAGCTCGCTGCAATTAGTCAGAAACATACGGTAGGCTTTGGTGAACAATTTTGGAGATTTGAACGAAAATAATCCAAGATGAAGTGATGTGATATTTTGAAACCTAATCTAATACTAAATAAGAGTGTTTATGTGAAACAGAACTGTACGTTGCCATGCTGAAAATGCTACAAAATTGTTTTTATAACATACCCATTATTTAAAGTAAGTAAAACATTCATCTTAGATTGGTATTTAAACGTATTTTGTGTATAAAAGAGAGATGCTGCTGCATCTCAGATGCAAATATTGTCTCTAAGAAACGTTTTTTTAAACATAAATTATAAACAAATATGACGAATCTTATTTTATCTTTTATCTCGGTATACCTAGGTATTTCAAATAAATGTACTTAGATGGTTATCTGTGCTTACCTAGCTGATTAAGGTGTGACATGCATTGGTATCGTAACATCTTTAAATCGTTTAAATACAACATAATAATGAGTTTTATGACATACTGACCGTAAATGGTATACTGCATTGTTTATATGAATATTTAATTTCTTCAATTCCTTTTGTAGTACTCAACAGTGTAATTATTTTAAAAAAATTGTAAAACTTGGTTTCTGAATTGTAAAAAATTGTAATTTACAAATTGTTTTCTTTGTAAACTTCTCATAACTTTTATATTTGATGTATTTTTTAAATTTCTTTTGTGGTTTTTAAAAATTTTATTATTTTAAATTTCTATTTCGGTCTATTCCTCTAATCAGTTTAATCATTACTAAACGAGCTTTTGGAGACAGGTTCTTAAGTGCCAATTATGTACCTACTTATACGAAATTGTCAAGATTATAAAATTGTAGAAACATTAAGGTAGATATCAAATTACTGGCGCATCTGTTCGGTATGTACCTAATGTATCCTATTTAATAATATTTCATCTACATTTCCTATTATCTTATGTCTGTTTTCATCTCTTTTGCCGTATTTTTCTCTTCTTTTGTCGTAGTTTTCCCTGCTTATCTTTTTCTCGTTTTGTTTTTAGAAAACAAATTCAAAATAATATATACTTATGTACCGCCAATGAATTCTATAAACATCTTATAGTTTAAAAACATAATAATGTGTTGTGTTGTTATTTGCAAAAATAAAATAATATTTATAGGTGGTGAATACATATTTTCTGATTTTAAAAAGTCTTGCATTTAAATAAATGAAACCTTTAGTCATTGAGAACACTTTAATCTATTAACCTGAATTTTAAGGGAAATTAACATTGGTAGATAATACTTATATAGAATATCAATTTAAAAAATGCCATGATCCGCTTCTGAAGATTTGTATTCATACCATATCTATGAGTAAAAGCATGTGTTCCGTATTTTTGTATTTTGGTTCTTAAGTACCTACTTACCTAGGAAGTAGAAAATGAATGTCTTTGATTGAATACAAAATAGGCTTTTAGATAAAGCGTCGTCCTATTAAAAATAAACTTAGCTATTAAAAAAAAAAAAATACCCATTTGTGAAGATATCTCTTCGACCCTGACTTTAAAAATTCAACAGCAAATAAAAGACCTGCACATTTTTCTGTTAAATATTCAGGCAGGTATATATTTATGATGAGTAAATAAGAGCTTTTCCAAGAAACGATGATTAAATGCTGGGAAAAACCGTACAATAAGAATTATACATTTTAACTTTTATTATTTGTCAACTTTATGTCAGACAAGGTGTAGACGTTTGTAAAACTTACAAAAATAATTATTTTTAGTTTTGAATGCCGGTTTGAGTGGAATAAAATTAATCTGACATAGGGTATTTAATCTATGGGTGGTATTTGTTCGATCTGTAGAGCTAATTAGTCATTTATTGTTTAAAAACTAATAATTATTCTGCTTTGGCGACCCGAGAAATATTCCTCATAATAGGCTTATTTTATTTATTTAGATATTAATCGACACCCATTTTTATAGAATTGTATAAAAAGTTCCATAACAAATTTTAAAAATTAACAACGTTAAAACGAGTTATAAACTTAACAATTACTGAGGTCCTTCCTATGGGGCATCAGTATTGCATTCGTGCAGACGAAAAAAATTTCTTACCCCCATTTTTTAAAACTTTTTTTCACGTTTCTGATCATTCTGAGTCCGAAAATGCAAAAAAATGTTTCGTCTGCTCGTCTGTGTGTATGTATGCCGGCACGAGAATTCTAGAACGAAAGTTCTGATTGACTTACGGTTTCGATTTTCTTGAATAATTACTTCTTAAAAATGACTTTTATGGTGGTGTTAACTTAAGCCTACTACTATTTCGCCCCTAGCCTCAAAAACACCATAAAATTTACTGGCTCTCTGTCGCAACCCCATAGAATAATTAACTGCCCATTTTATATGGCAAAAATCAGAATAATGCCTGTCAAGTATCAAGATGTCAACTGTGATGTGTGAATGGCTCTTAAATGTAAAATTATTTAAAAATGTTTGTATGCTTCTTTTGATATTTATTGCGAATAATTTGTAGTGTATCTCAATTCAGGCTTTCCGTAAATAAAGGTACAGCAAGACAGATAATATAATGTTCTTATACAAAGCACTTTTTAAGCAATTGCATAGCTTTTATTCAATAAAAGAAAATCGAAAAATCAAAAAACCGAAAAATCGAAAAATTGAAAATCGAAAAAGAAATTCCTTAACGAAAATAAAGCTAACACCCCCCACTCCGACCGGCACAGCGGTGCGGCGTTGAAAGCCGTGCATCGTCTAACGTCGTTTTAGTTCGGCAGACTTCGGCACGGTGTTTGTGTGCGTGCGACTAGACGTATGCGTGTAGACTAGCTGCTAACTGCTCATAACTGATTATATCTCTTGTAGACACAATTTCGGAAAAATTGAATTTAAAAATGAATAATGAACCACAAGAATCCACAACAAAATATGGGACCACCATTGACGCGGTATTTTCCAGATATTTAGAGGATATCAAGTTTCAAACTTGTTTCTTATTTCAGTTACCATAAACCTATAGTTTCAATGAAAAAAAATCCTGAATAACCTACATATATTATAAGATAATAAAAATATTTTAAACAATATTAACTTCTCATTTATTCAATAAAAGAAAAAAATGTATTTTCTTATCGGTCACCACGCTCAAAAAGTGTAACTTGAATTAATATCAAAGAAAAAAAATACTGCATAAATAAAATAAATAAATAATTATAATTGCATAAGTTGATAAAAATGCTATACAATAGCTTTACCGCGGCAGTCCCCGAGTGTCACACGTATTTTTTTATTTATATTTATATAAATGGACTATATGATAATGCACTTCAACCCTTTAATGTAATCCAAAATCGTATAATTAAAATTATCTACAAAAAACCACCATTATATCCTATCGCTCTTTTATATAATAAAAAAGTGCTTTGTATAAGAAAATTATATTATCTGTCTTGCTGTACCTTTATTTATGGAAAGCCTGATACACTACAAATTATTTGCAATAAATATCAATAGAAGCATACAAACATTTTTAAATAATTTTACATTTAAGAGACATTCACACATCACAGTTGACATCTTGATACTTGACAGGCATAGCCAAGCATTATTCTGATTTTTGCCAAATAAAATGGCCGGTTAATTATTCTATGGGGTTGCGACAGAAATAAATTATTATTTTACCCCTTGTAAAATAACAATAAATTAAGGGAAATACTTAAAAAGGGCAGGTTTAAAGAGTATTATCACAAGAAAGTATATCCATTCGGTTTATTTATCAAGTATTGTTTGAGGTTACTTTTGAATACATTTATTGTTTTTTTTTTTAATTTCTGTAGGCAGTCTATTAAATTTTTCAAACCTTTAATAAAAATTTTATTTTGGGAACTTTTAGTGATGGCTTGTCGTACATGAAAGTCAGATTGGCTTCTTGTATTATAGTTGTGATATTTCGAATTATATTAAATTTTTTCTAATAGATTTGATGCGATGGTACTATGTCATTTTTATTTTATAAATAAATATCAGTCATTTACTGAACATAATTCTGAATTGAAAGCCAATTTATTTCTTTTAACATAGTTGCAATACTCATCCTTCTCTCCTTTATTAATATTATATAATTAGGCGAAGTAAGGAGCCCAAATATTTTACATGAGCAGGCTTAAGAGGTAAAGGGGCCAATTATTATTGGATAAATTGCTCAAACAAGTTTGTAAACACTAATCAAAAGGCTATATAGAATGCTTTTAAAAATCAAGGCTTATGAAAATCAGCACATGGTTTAACCTAATTAATGCCAATGCTTCACAAACCAAAAAATTCAACGTCCTAATACTACTATCGGCTTTCGGTCTTTCGTTCCAAGTTGAATCAGTTCCCGTTTTTGTTTCGCTACGAGTTTAGCCTTGTGGACCTCAGTCTCGATAAGGTCTATACACAATAACTGAAAATATATGTAAATGACATTTTGATTGCCATAATGATTTAAATTTAAACATAACAAAAGTATATGACAAATAAGTGTTCACTGTCTTCAATTTTGACAGATACGTGAGTTCGTCGTCACAGCCGCATCAGTGGTCAGTGAATTTTTAAATTAAATTTTTATTAACCCGCGCAAATTTCAAAACTAGGGAAGTAAGTAAAAAATTGTTTAGACAAACCCGCGGTAATTTCAAAACTGGGGGGTTAAGTACAACAATTGTTTATTTATTTCTTAATAAACAAAATAGTACATTTAAAAATATATACTTCCATTAAAAAAAAGTTGACCATCAAATGAGTAAGCGAAAACAAAGATCGGCATCTTGAAGACTTAATAAATTCAAGTTATTTTTACTTGAAACTTATCTGCTATATAAGAACTTTACTATTGCTCCCCGTAAAAAAACGAAACTGCATTTTATCACATCGATGTTTTATCTCGGTCATAAAAGGAAAATCTTTACTGTCATTTCATAAATAATCACCCTTCAATTGCACCCCATCTACGCATATGTTTGCAGCCTTTGGGGTTGAAATCTTAAATCCATGATCGACGCCGGCGCCGTGCTATAGTAACCCCGTTACAGACTCATCCCTATACGGCACTTTTGACGACTTCTGTGCCATTTGTGTACGGAAGTAGTGAGAAAATCTTTCGATGGGTTGAATATGTAATACTTTTCCGTCCGGAGGCCTCTAGATGGGCCGTCATTTTCAATATAACG